TTTATGTGTCTTTGGTAAGCCATATAGTCTTGGTATTGTTGACCCTGTCGGTCGGATCTGATCATAGACTTCATGAGTGATTAACGTTTGGGTTTGCATTCTTTTCAGGACATCGGTGAGTTGCTTTTCAATCTGTTCCGTTTTGTTTCTTTCGTTGGGTGTTTGCGAAAATTTTGTTTTATCTGACAAGATGTTGTTCATTTTCTCAATGTAGTCTTTCTTGTCCATAAGGACTATACCGGCTCCTTTGTCTGGACGAGTTATAAGGAGTTCTTCATTTTGTTTTAGTTGATTTAATTCTTCTCTGTGTTGCCTTGTCAGGTGGTTGTATACTTTTGGTTTTGTATTAAGATACTGATAACAGCTATCGATTATTGTTGATTTGAAACGCTGCAATTCTTGTTCGGAGGTTGGGGTTAAATCATTTGTTTGGGTCATTAGGTTTTCGAATTGTACTTGCGTATGGAGTCTGTTGGCGTTTAAGTTGACGTCGCAGAATTTTGGGCCCATGGATAGGGCTTCTAACTGTAGGTTGGATAAAGCTACTGAAGAGTAGTTGAATACGAATTTCGAAGGGTCTTCAGGAAATTGTTTCTGTGCTTTGATGGATTTGAGGCTTTTGGTGAGTCGGGAAATAGTAGATTGTGCTCGTTTATCAGTGACTGTATTGACATATTCCGTAAACCTCTGGGTTTCACTAGGTAGCAGATCGTGGAGGGCTGGAGACCTTTGTGAAATGTTGCGTTGAAGTTCTGGAATACGGGCTTTAATAGAGTCAATAAGATTCAATGCATGTCGTCGGAGGGATTTTGTGTTGGGGTATATGTGGCTTCTTCTCAATGCTTTCCAAAACCATTTTGGATATTCGCGATTGGTGATACAATCATTGAAAAAGGTAATTTTCGCTTTCACTATCGCAAGTTTGACAGAGTACCGTAGAAACCCATTGAGTTCCTTGACTGTCGAGGGATTCTTGCTACTTTTTAATTCATGAATAATTCCCATTCGAACATTAGTAGACAGAAGACAAGTAGTTCAGCGAAGAGTCTCTTTTCGGCGAATCAATACAAAGGACAAAACTATGCTCTCCCTCGACATTGAATCACTATTTACCAACGTTCCACTCACAGAAACTGTCTCTTATATTTGTCACTATATCGACGAAAATCAGCTGAACATCGGATTACCGACGACCTGTTTAAAAGAACTACTACTGAGATGTACACTAAATGTGCAATTCACATTCAACGACATTATTTACAGACAACAAGATGGGATCGCAATGGGATCTCCACTGGGCCCATTACTAGCAGACTGCTTCATGGCAAGCCTCGAGAATGGCCCACTCAAATCAACCATCGACAATTTCCAGTTGTACGTTAGATATGTTGACGACATCTTTATCATCTGTGATGACGGTCACGATCTCAATCAACTACTGCAAATATTCAACAAATGCCATCCAGCCACAAATTTCACTTTGGAAACTGAAAATGAATCTAAAATCCCTTTTCTTGATGTCGAGCTTACAAGGAGAGATGACGGAACTTTAAGAAGGTCAATCTATAGGAAACCGACTTGGAACGGACAATTAACAAGTTTCTACAGCTGGGTACCAATCAGTCGGAAAAGAAACCTAATTAAATCCCTTGCCACTCGCGTCAGACGCATCTGCAGCTCCGACACCATGGAAGAAGAACTAAACTTCCTGAAAGAAATCTTCATACAAAATGGCTACCCACCAAGATTTGTAGAGAAAAACATCAAACAGAAAAACCAAAAGCAAGAGACACTATCCGTGCCGAAAAAGATACTTTATATGAACCTAGACTTCAAAGGAGACCTATTTAGTGACGTCCTCAGAAGGAGAATTTCCACCTCTTTAGGAAGAACTTTCCCTGCGGCAACACTAAGAATAGTGTTCTCCAGTCGCCCGCTGATCTGCAGAAACCCAAAGGACAAGATTCCGCACATGACCACTTCTATGTGTATATATCAGTTCACCTGTTGCTGTGGAGCCAGGTACATATGTCTGATATCACACAAACTCGATGATCTACACATGGAAACAAACAAGTCGACAGAAGAGGCAACAAAGATGCAACCTCAAGCAAACATATAGAAGAGAGAGGTAATCAAGATACCTAGCCAGCAGGGGGTGAAGTCGAAGGAGGTCACCGCTTTCACTTACCTAGGCTTCATCGTTTCAACTACAGGTGGCGAAGCAGATGGCGATATTAAAGCCAGGCAGGATTGGAAGGGTAACATAGACCTTCAATAATCTGATATTAGTATGGTAATCTACTGTGCTCAACAATAACAAACAAGATCAGGATTTTCAGCACTAATGTTAAATCAGTTCATCTATATGGTTCAGAGACTTCGTGTATCATAAGAAGCACTTTGTTGTTCCATTTTTGATAGTGGTTGTTTTGATAAAACAAGAAGCACTTTAAACAGGCTACTATAGACTTTCATTAACCACTGCCTTTGCTTCATTTCGAAAACTGGATGACCGGGAAGGGTTACCAAGGAGGAACACTGACACTGAACCAACAAACAACCTATCACAGTATAAATATGGGGTAGGAAATGGAGACAAATTCGGCATACACTAAGGAGATCCTCGACTGGAACACAAGTGGGAAACGATGAGTTGGGCATCCGAGAATGACATGCAGGTGATCGTGTGGGAAGGAAATCAGAGTTTATGAGCTATTGTGCAGCTAACAAAGTCAAGTGGAGATGTGCTGCTGAAGCCCTATGCTCTTCTTGGAACCCAAGAGAACAATAATAACAGTTTCTGTATTCAGCAGCTAACTCCACCGAAAGTCAATCAGCTTCTCATGGCAACTATTCTAAACGTAGTTACTTTCTTCCCAAAATACTAATCACATCACAATCAACTATTAATCAACAGAAAGCAAATAGTTGGGGGATTTCATCATGAGCTGACACCAGTTAGAGAACAATTGGAAAAACAACAGGGAGTACTGCCAGACAGCTGTTTCGTCCTAGATTGGGACCCTTCGTCAGTACGCGCCCACACCACGGGGTTCGAACTCAGGACATTCTGGTTACAGGGCAAGCGAGCTCGTAGACCATTAAGCAGCCACTGGGACCCTATTCAGTGGCCAGCCCATGAATTCTAACTTCTTCCAATTCATGACATAGCGCGACCACTTCACAATGTTTCCTTCGATGAGTTACTGCCTCACCTTCAACCTGATCCACCCTACTGGTCACGGCTTCTCACTAGAACCCCAGGTTAGCTTCCTGAATAGGGCGAGTCGCTAGTGAGTCTCCGATGAATTTTCAAGTATTGGTTTTCAGTGGGGATTTATTTTGACTGGTTGAAGGATTCCATCATGAGCTGATATCAGTTACAGGACCTCGGAGTATTGGACAGCGAAAGCGAATATACTAATGAAGTACCAGTTTAACGAAGGAGTTAGTTTCGCAGTCAACGGTGATCGTGATAATTATAATGTATAGTTACCAACAATTCATTCACTTCTCTTTTATAATCACGTCCAATGTACATATGGTAAAATACACTTAAGAAAATGTTGAACACAAAAATAAGAGAATAATAATGATCATGTGGCACTTCTCATTAAAAGTGACACCTACGCATTTTCCAATATCAGAAAAAATAAATTGATCAGTGTGCACTTTGAAAACACAATATTAAACTTCGTCCTACCACCATTATTTCGGTACACAAATGATAAGTAATTAGGTAGCAACAAATGCATTATACATATATATATATATATATATATCACAAAGACCGAGCTTTTTGATAACCTCAGGCTATTAATCATGGAAATATTTCGTCTATTCACCGTTAAATGGATGTCTTCCAAGGCGATTAAAAACAGGTTTAAGAAAAAGAAGTGAAGACATTAACAGACTTTAACACTCACTATGTTAGTCTTTTGAAAGTAATAATAAAAAGATAGCGACATTGCTTCTACTGTTCATTTTTACCCACGTTAAACAGCTTCCATTTTCATAAAAATTTCATCGATTTGGACACAAAATTATCGTAAAGTATTTATATTACGCTGGAATTTATTCAGTGGATCATTATAATAATAATGCGGAGACATACACATAAACACACACAGAAAGTATTTATTATTGCCATCGCAATAATGATCGCGGTTAAGACAAAACGCACACAGACTCAATGAAACAATTTTTTCAACTGATTGCATCTTTTTTTAAAAGACAAACACTGCATAAAAGTTCTTTTCTTCTTGAAGGTGGCTGTTACAAGCATTATTCTGTAGTCCTCCGGATAACGCGAGGAAAGTGAGTTTATAGATTCATGGGAAGCTAGCTAACTTCACAAAGACTACCGCTTCATTCAGGGAACAAAACTTTTACATGTCAACAAACTCTCTACACATAAGTAGATCTAGAAATGATGGAGAGAATTTATAGCTGAACTGGATAATGTTGGCGTAGATGTGTCTTCTATGAGCTTCCATTGTTTCTCTAGACACTTTCACCTCTATCTTCAGGATGAAGTCAACTTTAATTGTCTCCGGAGATTGTCTTGATTGTCCTGACCAACTGGATTGGTATTGATCATTTTGTTGTACAATACCAAACTAATAAACACATGCTTGACTTGTCTGCTGCACTCTTACTAAGAATTATTCATTACTCCGGTTTAAAGTTAAGACAACAGGTTTTTCTAATTGTGCTTTTAACACATTGAAAATCTGAATAGTTGTCTGAATAAATAAATAAATAAAAATTCTTATATTCCTAACTCTAGACAGGTCATAGTTTTGGCCTGCCTTATTAAAAGTTACAGCATTAGCATAATACACAACCGCATAAATGATTGTTTGTCTACAATTCACAGTCTGCTTACTGTCGTCTATTACTACGTATAATTATCACTTTTTTCATGATTAAAATTAATAGTGAAGGTTGTTACACCAACAGTTATTTAAAAAAAATAATAATAAAGTATGTTTCACCTTGTGTTCGTCTGGTTCCTAAGCTTACATATAAACTATGTAAACGTTTAACCAGTTCAATTCTTCGTTTTTCAGCAGCCAATCGAAGACGCCTCAGACGGTGAAGTTGGTCCAGATCATCGTCTGTAGTTTGGTAAAAAAATATATATAAAAATGGTTTCAAGGTGATAAAACTAGATGAAGCATGAAAATGATAATATAAAACAGTCTTTCGAGGTGAATAAGAAATAAACCTACAAACTATGTTTTACCACGAAGTTTGTTCTTTCTTTTTTTTCTCTGTTCCAAATAATAAATATCCTATGAATTTCTGTGCGGTACAAGTGTTCAGGAACAAGAAATCTCTTTTATGCGTCACGTCAGAATAACATAAGCGAATTAGACAAATGGAAAACTTTCTATGTGCTACATATGGGGCGAAATTGAAGATACTACTCATCCCTATAGGAAATAGTGTAACAGTAGAAGGCAAGACACGGAAGTCAAAGTATATTTTTCATTAATCAAACCGCTGTTTATGCATATACAGTTTATATTCGTTAACCAATCACTCAGCGTGTGATTTCGGCTCACATCAAACGTCAACAAATAGAATGTTCAGATATACCCAGTAATATTCCGTTAGCACACATTGTCTCTGGTGGATAATTTTGATGTGGTTTTGTTCTCTGAGCTGGATAGTTAGTTTGCGAAGCTTTCATCACCTTACTGGGTGACATCTTCAGCGCATACTTCAATTTGAAAGCTTCGCAAACTAACTATCCAGCTCAGAGAACAAAACCACATCAAAAAAACACATTGTCTGTATCACACCACCACAATAGGATTATGTTGCCTTACATCCTTTGGTTTATTCAAGTCCATTGAGATGATTGCATCTGAATTTTATTACAAAGAGAATTTTGCATACTAAATAGTGTAGCAAAATGCTAGTAAAGTGTAGTTTCATTTCAGACTGAGAAGATACTGTATATGAGCTTTAACAATTATATTTTAATTAATAATTTCCTCATAATGATAACATAGCTGCTCATGAAAGACTGATATAAGTGATGACCCATGCTACATCACACTCACTTTCACTGCATCTTATTGAAAGATAACTGTGCCAGAAAGAAAAGTTAGTACTTACTTCATTTCGCTTTTATAGTCAAATGTGTATACAAAACCTTTATTTGAATGAACTAACATGAGTATTAGAACATATTATTATTATTCTATATTGTTGGTCACCGGATTTTCGAATAGAACATTGGGTTTCAGAAGCACACCTTCATTAAAGTCGGTTCTCTGTCTCCACAATTGACTGCAAGCTTTCATTTTCTCTGAGAATAATCTTCTCCATGTCACCCTAGGAATTACCTCCAGCTAGTCTCTTACCGCGGAGATCCCGCTCGAAGACCTGGTGTGTTATATCACTCAGTTGTCTCCTTAGAGTTCCTAATCCATCTGTACTGCCTCTTGTATATTAATGGGGAAATAGATTTTTGGTTGGTTTGTTCACTGATAGAGTTCCTTGTGGCTTATTCTGGTCTTCACCATCGAACCAGTGGAGATATCTGTTGGCTGATGAATGTCACGTACGCCAAGACTATGAACCATTCGGATGCACTGACTTGATCTGAGTGTTACAAATTAGAGTCTTCTTCTTGGCACCGTAGATCTCTACATGGATTTCAAAGTAATTAACACCTGGATTTCCTTCCCTATCTGACTGTGGATGCTTTACTTTCATATTCTCACCTGTGTCACCAGTAGTTCAAAAGACGTTGCTCAGGTCACGTTAGTGAAACAGACGGCTTCCTTCAGATCACTCTTACTGCTTGGGATTGGTGTTTGTTGTTGGCCAGGCAACTTCATCTGAATTGTAGCCTAAACCCTGATTGTGTTTTCCTATACAGGGTATATCTTGAAGATATGAAGATAATGACTAAGGGAACAAACGTATATGACATGTGAGGAAAAACAATACATACACATCCATTCAAACAGTCGTTGTTAATGATGGTCGATAATATTAGTTGTATGAAATCAGTTGAGGGAAAAGTTGAATTACTGTTAATAGTTAAATGTGACGTATCCAACCTTACTTCATAGTTCATTGTATTGAGACAAATTATTTAACACTATGAATGTTAAACCGTCTAACTTCTAGGAGAATATCATTAAAGTTAAGTGTAAATACGCTCAGATGGTGACGCATAAATCAGATGAAAGTGTTTTATCCCACTTTTATTTATTGTCTGATTTGGAAATCAAATGAACCTTTTGTTTTTCCATGTTGGTACTAAACAAACTTTCCATGAATACAATCCCGTGTATGTTTCCCAGTGTTAACATTTTGTGATTCGGTCGTGCAATGAAAGAATAATCAAGTTTAGAGATTAATTTCTCCAGTTATGTAAAGCAAGAATGAAAGATAAACATACGATTTCACCTACATCACATTTTGTACTTATATGTGTCCAGTATATTAAAAACACTTAATGTGATCATATTTTAAATGTTGTCTTGATCCAAATCCCGTGCAAATTAAGATGCAAATTAGGTCTCGCCATGAAGCCCGAGAATCTTGAGTTCCATCCCTGGTGGAGTCGTAAGTGTGCACTACTCAAGAGTCACAAACTATGACTAATATCTCTCCAGCGCTCCCTGGTTTTCAATGACTTTCCAATCAGCGATGGTTCATGACAAAATCTATAATGAAGTTACATTTTCTGTTTGGAATTTTTAACAAGAAGAGATTAGTTAGAGGATTTCATCATGAGATGATATCAGTTAGAGAACCATTGGAAAACCAACAGGTAGGACTGCCAGACAGCTGTTTCGTCCTAGTTTGGGATTCTCCAACAGTACTCACCCACATCACGGGGTTAGAACCCATGACCCTCTGGTTACAGGGCGAACAAAATTCTCTACAAAATCAATGCTTTGAAATACATCGGATGCTCACTAGCGACTCGCCCTATTCAGGAAGTTAACCTAGAGTTCTAGTGGGAAGCCATGACCAGTAGGGCAGTAACTCATCGAAGAAGACATTGCTAAATGGTCGTGCTATGTCGTAAATTGGTAGATGTTAAAATTCATGGACTGGCCATTGGACCAGGTCCCCGTGGCTTAATGGTCTACAAGCTAGCTCGCCCTGTCACCAGAAGCTGGTGGGTTCGAACCCCATGATGTGGGTGAGTACTGCTGGAGAATCCCGAACTAAGCTGACGAAACGGCGTTCTGGCAGTCCTACCTGTTGTTTTTCCAATGGTTCTCTAACTGATGTCAGCTCATGACGAAATCCCCAACCAATCAAACAAAATTCTCTGCAAAACCAATAGTTGAAAAAGGAGAGTAATTTAATGTGGTCAGAATAGTACATCTTATGCAGTACTGTTTATATTTATTCAGTGATATATGAATAGCAGTTTATTGTGAATATTTAATTATTTGGAAATACCTTTTATACATTATCATACTGATTAATGAACAACGAACATTCTTTTTGATACCTTCTTAAGATTCTGTAGTTATATGTCCATATTAATAATAAAATAATTGGTACTAACACCATTATTGCTTTGTTTAATAATATCGAATCATTAGGGTCAAAGTATTCATGAGTTTTATACCAGAGAGACACACACAGAAAGAGTGAAAGAGGTGTGTATTTCAGTAAAATTGTTATTAGACGACGACGACTGAAAACATGTGTACATGATAGAATGCATAAATATAACACTAAACTGTACATCGAATATCACAAGATGTTTTGTTCAAAGTAAATGATCACGAATGACAATTGATAGGCATGAGGGTAGCAACCCCATCCTGTAAAACTAAATACTGCTACAGAAACTTCAAGCCACTAGCTTGAAGCCCTAAGTTCCACTGGGGAACGTGAAGGAAAAAATGACAACTGATGCATGACTTTATGTTACAATTTAGAGCATTACTGATGCTAGTAACAATTATTTCTTAACTAACATGGATAAAATAACTGCAAAACCTGAAGTAGAAGAATAGGCAAAAGAAAGGAATATTTAACCTTTAAGTTTAGCACTGTTGAATAGTAAGAAACTATACCCTAAGTAGATAAAAGTGAATAGGTTGTTTGATAAACAAAGAACTCTCACACATATACTGGGATTAAGGCTTTATTTATCCTTAAAAGCACTGGACACAGTTTAAAGAAACTCAGTCATGAGATAGCTTAGACATAAATGTAACAGCCGAACTCCAAGGTAAAAGAAAACATCCCATTTAAGCAATGGGAGAACTTTTCAACAGCCAGAAAAACAACTATTTGAAGTTGCACAACATGAAGGATTTCAGTAACGAATCATGGAAGTATTGAATAGTATAGTCTTAGAAAATTAACATAATTTCATTATGATTTTATTATGAGTTGGTGGTCTAAGAGACAATAATAACTTGTTTTACAATTTTAAGGAATTTAAAAATTTCTGTACCTGACTTTCATAGTATGAAGTCTATATAGAGGTGAATGAAATACGGAGTGGGAAAGTATTCAGTCTACACTAGCGTAGCGTAGACAATCTAATTAATATTCACAAAAATAACACCCTGTATATGGAGAGTGCAATGCATATATGCAAAAATGTTAGCAAGCAAGTCTGTTTCATTAATCCCAGACACTAATCACCATGACACCGCTAAAATATTGAGCAATGTACTGATGGCATAATACGTGTCGCTAAGTCTAGTTCAAAGGATATAGAACTATGCGTGAACTAGTATTTGGACACATTTAATTGAATAGCCTAGGAACACCTCCTATTTAGTCAGTCTGAACAGTGAATGTTAATATTCAAATGTGTAACAGTCAGACTGATGAATTATGTTATTTGAAAGCCGATACAATCAGTTAACCTCTTATTAGGTAGACCCCAAAGAGAATTAAGCCAACACTGTCTTTCGTAATGTGAATAAAAACGTTGTGTTGAGTGAACGAAACTATAATTATGAATACAAAGGAAATCACTGAGAACGGTAGATTAACGTTCAGCTCACAGGGACAGACAACTAATCTTAGTCATGTAATGTATTTCAAGAGCTCATTCTCTTTTCAGGTTTGAGATGTTGATGCAATTTAAAATGGTGATAAAAGCTTC